CTTCTTTTTTCTGAATGCACACGCATACGCATGTCAGCATGTGTCCTCTGGTGTTCATAGCATTTTTACGTGTATGTTGTGCAGCTGACTAATTTTGACACTGACTTAAAAGAATAACTCCGGCTGTACAAAACACAACTAAGTGAATAGATGGCAGCATCGCGAATTACCACTGAACCAAAAGGCTACCATTACTGAAGTTTAATCATGGTTTATTGCCTTATTCCACTACAGGTGATAGAAGGAATAATGAATGCAGAAGGGAGAGAACTAGAGGTCCTTGTTGGCCTTAGTTCAGAAATATGTAATGTCATTCCAGAAGACTTTGTGCGAGGGCTAGAGCATAATCAGATAAAGGAAAGTTTTATACAGAGGCTTGTCAGTGCACTTAACTCAAATATGGTACCCAGTGCTCATTGTCTAGGAATCAGGAGGGTCATAGTTCAACATGCCATATACATGATGGAATGCAATCCAGTCTACATTAACTGTTTCAAAGAATGCCAGATGATGGAAGCACTGGTAAGGGTAGAGCGTACACCTTCAAGGGCTGAAAACTACAGGTTCTTCTTGGGTGATGCAGGAATCATGGAGCACAATATACCTCTATCCGTGCTTGTGGCTAGAGCAAAAAAATTGATGGGCCATGAGCAGTTATGAGGCATCAGCAGTGTCACCTGAACATGTATTTAGATGATATTCTACTACTGGTTTATACTGGGACTTCCCATTGGCTCACCATATTGGTGAGTTATTCGTTGCAATCCAAGGAGATCCCATGAAATTTGACAAGTAGACATTGTGCCACCACACGGTGAGGGTAACTTAAATAATGGCTGTGTTAGTGTTGTAAGACCATGGATATATGAAAGATGATGAATCTGATTTGTGATTGAATATGAAATGACATGGTAGTTGTGCATTGTCAGGCTGTGAGGCTTCAACACCAACTCATCGTATTTTAAATTTTAAGCCTTATAGGGATATTGTTTGGCACTAGTAAATGGTGTGGTAAGTGAGTACTCACGAGGCAACCACTTCAGTCCAGATCCAAAACAGTCATTAACTGGCACTGATCTTCTAGCTAAGAGACTAAGAACCATCCACTTTAGTCATTGGACGCGAGGGGTCTTACCATAAGCGATTTTAAACTAAGAACGCGCCATGCAGCAGCATGCTAAAATTCGGGCCTGAAATTTGTGGTTTACTCAAAACCAGAAATATTGGAATTTCTGCTTCCTACTTGTCAAGTACTCCCTCCGTTCCTAAATATTTGTCTTTTTAAAGATTTCAAATGGGCTACCACATACGGAGTATATAGACATATTTTAGAGTGTAGATTCACTTATTTTGCTCCGTATGTAGTCACTTGTTGAAATTTCTAGAAAGACAAATATGGAGGGAGTAGATCGCAATTGGCCATTAACTGAACACTACAGAGTACCCATCTCATACAACCACGAACTGACTGTTTCAGGAGAAGAGATCGAACGCATCGATTCTATTGCACTTGGGCATAGATATAGTTTATAGGAGGGGGGCACGCAGCCACGAACGGGGTCGTGGGGTGACCACGATCAGAGGAGGTGGCGAGTGTGCTTACAGGGAAAACTGCACACACGCACTCCTTTCTACGGTACAACTACAGCGTACAAATACAGTATGCTAACACCCCTCGCAGTCTTGGCGTCGGCGCTGGAGACGCAAAGGCTGGAGCGAAACTCTCTGAAGACGTCAGAGGGCAGCCCTTTAGTCATCACGTCGACGAACTGCTGGCGAGTCGGGACATGCAGGACGCGGAATTCGCCGAGGGCCACGCGCTCACGAACAAAATGGATGTCCAGTTCGATGTGCTTGGTGCGCCGATGGTGAACTGGGTTGCTGGAGAGGTAAACTGCAGAGATGTTGTCGCAGTAGACGAGCGACGCCGTGTTGACGGTGCAGTGCAGCTCGCGGAGGAGCTGACGAAGCCAGACACACTCAGCAACGGCATTGGCGACGGCGCGGTACTCCGCCTCCGCGCTGGAGCGGGAGACAATAGTTTGGCATTTGGACGACCAGGACACAAGGGCGTCGCCCGAGGAAGATGCAGAAGCCGGAGGTGGATCGCCGCGTGTCGGGGCAGCCTCCCCAGTCCGCGTCGGTGTATACGTGGAGCGACAGGGACGAAGAGGCCCGGAGATGAAGGCCGAGCTCAGTTGTCCCGTGCACGTACCGGAGCACCCGTTTGAGCAGAGCCCGATGACAGTCCCGCGGATCATGCATGTGGAGACAAACCTGTTGCACGGCGTAGGCGAGCTTGGGGCGAGTGATGGTGAGGTACTGGAGAGCGCCGGCGAGACTCCGATAGGAAGTGGGGTCAGAGACGCGGGGACCATCCGAGGACGGCAGCTTGGCCTTGGTATCCACGGGCGTCGGCGCGGGCTTGCAATTGTCCATGTCAGCGCGCTCCAGGATCTCCTCAGCATACTGGGACTGAGAGAGGAAGAAGCCGGAGGCGTCGCGGGTCACCCGGATCCCCAGGAAGTAGTGGAGCTCGCCCAAATCCTTCATGGAGAACTCGGCAGTGAGGCGGGCGATGATGCGCTGGAGAAAGGCGGGCGAGCTCACTGTGAGGACGATGTCGTCCACGTAGAGAAGTAAGTAGGCGGCATCAGCACCAGCGTGGAGGAGGAAGAGTGAGATGTCCAAGCGCGTGGCGATGAAGCCGAGCGTGGCGAGGAAGGTGGCGAAGCGCTGGAACCATGTGCGCGACGCCTGTTTGAGGTCGTAGAGGGACTTGACGAGTCTGCAGACATGCTCGGGCTTGGTGAAGTCGACAAAGCCGGCTGGCTGCAGGCAGAACACCTCCTCCTGCAGGTTACCGTGTAGGAAGGCGTTGCTGACGTCGAGCTGGCGCACCGGCCAGCCACGCGAAGCAGCGAGGGTGAGAACGGTGCGGATGGTGGCGGTCTTGATGACGGGGGAGAAGGTCTCGCCGTAGTCGACGCTGGCGCGTTGGCGAAAACCGCGGACGACCCAGCGCGCCTTGTAGCGTTCCAGGGAGCCATCAGCGCGTGTCTTGTGCTTGAAGATCCATTTTCCGGTGATCACATTGGCACGAGGGGGACGAGGAACGAGCTCCCAGGTGCGGTTGCCGATGAGTGCAGAGAACTCTTCCTGCATGGCAGCGACCCAGTTCGGATCGCGAAGCGCATCGCGAACAGATCGCGGGATCGGCGAGACCTCCAGCGAGGGAGCAACAGCGGCGTTGCAGATGTAGTCGTCGCGGTACCGTGTGCTGGGGCGGAACACACCAGCGCGAGCACGGGTGATGATCCGGGGCGCTGCCTCTGTAGTGGAAGAAGGGGGCAGCGCGGGCACGCCTGAGTTTGAATCGGGGCCGCGCGATGCAGATCCGACGGCGGCACTTGAAGGAAGCAGTCGCGCGCCACTCGACGGAGGGCTGGAGCCGCTGGATGGTGTTGAGGCAGATCCAACAGCGTCGCTTGAAAGGCGCGGGTGCGCGCCAGAGGACAAGGCGCTGGGGCCGCTGGATGGGGATCCAGCGGTGGAGTTTGAAGTCCCGGAGAGCGCGCGCGTGCTGCCGCTGGAGCTGCAAGGTTCAACCGGCGCCGGCGAGACAGGCGTAGGCTGCCGCTGGAGGGGCACGGGAACGAGACGCGGGGGCGGCGGAGCGCTAGGGGCAGGCGGTGGCGCTGCGGCGAAGGGAAATGAGGTTTCGCAGAAGCGGACATGTCGAGAAGTAAGGACGCGACAAGTGGCTGGATCGTAGCAACGATAACCACGGTGGTCAGGGGGATAACCCAAGAACACGCAAGCGACAGACCGGTGATCAAGCTTGTGCCGTGCGGTGGATGAGGTGTTGGGGTAGCAGAGGCAACCAAACAGCCGGAGAATGGAATAGTCCGGGGGAGCGCCCAGGAGCAGCTCGTGTGGTGATCACGGCGAGGAGGTGGTGCACGGTTTGTAGTTGAGGAGAAGGGTGGCGGTGACGAGAGCTTCAACCCAAAATCGTGCGGGGAGGGAGGCATGGAAGAGCAGAGAGCGCACAATGTCATTGAGAGTGCGCATCACTCGCTCAGCCTTGCCATTTTGTTGGCTCGTGTATGGACAGGAAAGGCGGAAAGTGGTGCCGTGGGTGGAGAGGAGCGAGCGAACAACAGCGCTGTCGAACTCCTTGCCATTGTCTGTCTGAAAAGCAAGGATGGGGCGCTCAAACTATGTCTGAACATAGGCGTAGAATTCAGTAAGAACAGAAAGAACATCAGACTTGTGACGCAAGGGGAAGGTCCAAACATAATGAGTGCAACTGTCGAGTACAACGAGATAGTACAGAAAACCAGACACACTAGTCATAGGAGATGTACAAACGTCTAAATGCAACAACTGCAAGGGGAAACAGCTACGACTATGTGAAGTGGCGAATGGCAGACGAGCGTGCTTGCCCAGCCGACAGGCGTGGCATGTGTGGACAGCCGAGGGCGCACAACTGAAGGAGAGCTGAGGCAGCACGCGGCGAAGAGCATCATCCCCAGTGTGGCCAAGACGCTGGTGCCACAGCTCCACGGTGGCGACGCCGGCGAACGGATGCGAGGGAGGGAGCGCGCGGCAGGGCGTCACACGGTATAGATCGCCGGTCGAGTCACAACGCAGGATCACCTGGCGGGTGCGGATATCCTTGACAGAAAAGCCAAATTTGTCAAATTCGACGGAAACAGGATTGGCATGAGTTAGTTGACGAACGGGGAGAAGGTTGGTCAGGAGAGATGGTGAAACTAGAACATTGCGAAGAATTACAGAGGAGTTGGTGGCGATCAGAAAACCGTGGCCGGTGTGCGTGATCGGCAGGTGATCGCCGTTGCCGACCACGATCTGGGTGGGAGAGGAGTGTGGGACAAGAGAATGGAGGTTACCAGGATTGTTGGTCATGTGGGACGCCGCGCCGGAGTCGATGTACCAGTCCGACGTGCTCCCGGTGGTGGGGGAGGAAGTGGACGCAGCCTGCAGAGCCGTGCGCAGAGCCCCCATGTCCCAGGGTTGTGGAGGCGGGGGCACGGTGCTGGAGCTGGCTCTGGGGTCGCCGTAGTGGAAGCCGGGGGGTGGGCCGTAGACGCCGTAGCCAGACGACGGCGGGGGCGCACTTGGGGCGGCGAAGTAGGCCTACTGATGAGGTGTGCCGGGGCGAGGGCCGAGGACGCCAGCGCCGGGCGTGCGCCAGGCCATGGGCCAAGCTTACACGAGGCCGGTCCAGGAGTTGGCACCGAGCGCCTGACCTGGGAGGGCAGGCGGACGAGCGGGCGGAGGGGAGGATGAAGAAGACGCGCCCGGAGTGCCACGACCGCAACGGCGACCACGGCCATGGCCACGCCCCGAGTCAGGGGGCGGGGTGGTTGGGGAAACCACAGGAGTCGATGCAGGCGCGGTGGGTGGCGCCGGAGCGCGCCCGGCCACCATGGCGTGCGCATGCTGGAGACGAGCCGTCTGCTCTGCACGGTGTTCCTCCAACAGCAGGAAGGAACGAGCCTGCAGGAAGGAGGGCAGGGGCACGCGCGAGGTGAGTTGCGGAATGGCATCGTGGTACTGGCGGCCGAGCCCACAGAGCATGTTGAAGAGCTGCTGGGTCTCGGAGACGGGCTGGCCGAGGTCGCGAAGCTGAT